CCAAGTTGTGACATGGTGTTTAAAGTCCAGTCGCGGGTCTAGATGTACACCAAGCCAGCGTATTTGGTCTGCTAGCTCGATAGTCACGCCGTTCACACGAATAGCCACCGGATTCTCGTGTTTCCTGCCGGGAAACTGGACTATCTCCGACTTGTTAGTATCGAAGGAGACTGCATTGTTACTTGCCCACTCCAGAAGATGATCGACTTCCTTCTGTACAGAAGCGGCCGACTCAGCAATGTTGCGCCCGAACCCTAGGATCCCGACATCGTCTGCGTAGCTGAACCTCATTCCTAGGTTGCCGCTTCGCATAGGCTCTGCCATGTATAGAAGGAAGAGAAGTGGCGATATCGGTGATCCCTGCGGAACCCCACAAGCCAGCTTTCTCTGCCCAGTGACCCCTCCGAAGTATCGGACTTGTACCTTTCAATGTGCAAGAAATGATGTCGTCCATTGTATCATTGAGTTCGGCCACCCCTGCTCTTGCATCCTCCTCACCAAACGATTGTGAAGTACTGCATCGAACGCGCCTTGGACATCCAGAGTCATAAATGTGGCCGCCCATCCCTGGGTACTTGCCTCTTCGATGTCGTGGACTACGCAGCTGACAAGATTGTTTGCCGATCTCTTAGGGAGCGCGCCAAATTGTTGGTATCCAACAACATCCAGCGTAACCGCAAGATGGGCCATCCGCTTCGCCAAGAGTCGTTCCAGTCCCTTACCTAAGCATGACCAGAGGGCAATCGGTCTCCAGCCCTTAACTGTTGTTGGATCCCGGTTCGACTTGCGTATGAGGACCACTTCTTTTTTTTTTTTTTTTTTTGCATCAGATTTTAATTGCGTATGCAGCTATCTAGCTATGACACAATATCAAAGAAAAGTACAGAATAGATGATTCAACGTAGAGGACCAATTCAGCCAGCTTGAAGCAGGATGGATGGATGCCAAGTCTGATACAGGCGCGGAAAAGAGTGCCAACAAATAGTCCTATCGTCTTCTAGCAGGTTTGTAGAAGCTCCACAGAGATCCCGTCCGCTCCAGGCGCTGTGTTAGCACAGCCTATGGTGTGCATGCGTATCTCCTCGTCCGAGACATGGTCGTTCCAGGGGATTCGATTAGTGCTCGGCGCATCGATTGACGGTAGGTTCCAAACCATTTTCGTTCATTCTATGAACTGCCACGCTTTTAGCTATTCCGAGCATGGTTTTGTGTGTATCCAGACGTGTCTGGTGGTTGTGTATAACTATTTTCGTGGTTAACACATTTTTCGCGATTTTCGCGATTTTCGCGGATTTGGGGGGTACAGGTGCCATTTTAAGGCCTCGTGACGCAGTACCACGGGAAATTGATGTTTCGACGCTCGAGGGGTGATTTTAGGGGTGGAAAAAGTGAAAAAAGTGAATTTTCGAATATTCGAATTGTGCGTTTTTTTGTTTGTTTTCTATTTTTCGTCCATTGGGGCGCCAAGCTTTACTTAGGTCCCTACTACCCACTAAACTACCTAGAGGCATAGACGCCAGTGCTTACTTCCCTTGTGGCTTCGCCCTTGCTACTTCCTAACTAGGTTTGCAGGGCAATTCTCTAATTACATGATTGCGTGTAGCAAAGCACCTGCACTTTTTCAGCCAGTCCCCGAGGCTCTTTACTCATTTGATGTATAACAACCACTCTCGACATACTACTATTAGATCCATTCATAAATACCGCACCATCCATCCATAATGCAAGGCTCAGAGTTGGGGCAGAGTTGAAGACCTATTTATTTCTTCTCTGGGGTTTCTAGGGCAGGTCTTAATGTAAAACTCTGAAATAGAAAGCCACTTTGCTACACGTAGGGCCCCTTCCCAGGTTCCTAGCAAAAATTTATTTGGGTCCCTTGAAGATGCTGGAGCTCAAGGAGGTCTATGAGTGGTTTTGTGGCACTCTAGGAAGTGCACGGACAGAGAAGTGGTGGATAAGAAATAGAGAACAGGTGTGATTTGCATAAAACTGTGGGTGACAAGAAATCAAATTGTGCCCTTGGTTTAGGCCTGGAAATCCAGGACAAGATTTATGTACCCTGTCAAAAAAAGCGCTAACGGTGACCTATCCCTGAAGCAAATATGCGCTCCAGTTAAATCCACTGCAAACTTGAAATCGTGGTCACAGGGTATTCGCTGTACCCTGTATACAATACCTTGACGATTTCACGGGTCTGCTCCAGGTTTTACAAAAAAGAAATATTTGTCGCAACCTGAATGGGAACAATAAGTTTACAGGGTAAAAAGATGAACTATCTGGACTCTGTGCCCCCGTTCATTAATTACTTCTAGTCGGAATGATGCACTAAGATCAGCCATTACTCTGCGCGGCTACATGAGCAAGACCTCCGCACAGCAATAGACATTCCGAAACAAATACCTTCTATCGGTGCCCGGTGCCATATTCATTGAGACTTTCGAAATGCTTATAGATTGATTCTGATAGCTTAACCATATTGATGTGAAGACAATCGAAAAGAGCACAACACCTACATCATACAAGAGGTTGTAAATCTATCTACGGTTTTAGATTCATCTGAACAACACAAACGAAATGCGCGAAACAGATGTATTAAAATGCACCCTGCTACTTGCTTCATCTTTAGGGTTGGTGCTCTCTGAGCAGCCAGAAGCTTTGAAGCCCGTTCCTGCACCAGTTAGGAGTTTACCATGGGGCCAATTGAATTTTCTACAAACTACTGATACCCATGGCTGGCACGCAGGCCATTTACAAGAGTAAGTCACTATCTATTATTGAGCCAATTTTCCTGAAGAATCTAGGTCTCAATATTCTGCAGACTGGGGTGACTATATTTCGTTTGCACGACGAATGCACGAAAAGGCTGACCTTCTCGGGGTTGATCTCCTTCTTGTCGATAACGGAGATCGAGTGGAGGGAAATGGCCTTTATGATGCATCTACACCGAAAGGTTTATTCACTCACAACATCATTGCGCAGCAGGATATTGATATTCTAACAATTGGAAACCATGAGCTTTACCAGCGGGAGACTGCATCAGCAGAATACTTGGAAACTGTTCCAAGATTTGAAGGAAAGTACCTGGCATCAAATGTCGATTACATAGATCCGGAGACAGGGCTACAAGTACCTTTCGCAAAACGATATCGAATCTTCACAACCAAAACTTTGGGAATTCGTGTATTGGCATTCGGATTTTTGTTTGACTTTAACGGAAATGCCAACAATACAATTGTCTTGCCAGTTAAAGCAGCCATTGATACAAACTGGTTTCATCAAGCTCTTATGGAGGAAGTAGATCTGTTCTTAGTTGTCGGACATATACCTCTAGACGGACCCGAACTCGGAGAAATTCACAGAGCAATAAGAAATAAACACAAGAATACACCAATTCAATTTTTTGGGGGCCATAGCCATATACGAAACTTCGTAAAATTTGACTCCAAATCATCTGGTATGCAAGGCGGAAGATACATGGAGACAGTTGGATGGCTCTCAATAGATGGTATAAAAGGCAGGACTTATCCAAGCGCAACACAGGAAATAACATTCCAACGAAAGTATATCGACAACAATATTTTAGGATACTATTATCACACCGGTCTAAACGTCTCAACGTTTCACACTGATGTTGGAAAAAATGTATCAAGTTATATAAATCAGGCTAGACAAGTATTAGACCTCGGTCACGTTTACGGCTGTGCTCCTCGGGATTTATATCTTAATCGGGCTCCATATCACAGTAATGCAAGTCTTTTAACCTGGCTTGAGAAAGAGGTCCTTCCTGTCATTGCTATCAAACCAGAACGTAAAGCCTACCCTAGGATTGTATTAATGAATTCAGGTGCAATAAGATTCGACATATTTAAAGGTGCATTTACTCGGGATACTTCTTTCATTCTCTCGCCTTTTGTCAATCAATTTAAATTTATAAAAAATGTCCCTTATGAGGCAGCAAAAAACATATCTGCCATGCTTAACAATCGTGATTACATGTCTAGCATTGCAGCGAACAAAAGTCTTGGAATTCTAGAACAAGCTCCAACTACAACTGAGTATGTTGCTGCAAAATTAGTTGAGGGTTCGATTGATCAGGAGAATCAAGCACCTTTTAACTTCGATCCAAATAATCCAAAGATTCTTCCAGGATACACCACAATCGACCAAGCCGGTCTTGAAGGAGATGACACAATTCACTCACCAATCTATACGTATCCGACACCAAACTGTATTTACAGCTTCATCAATCCAGCTGGAGATGCTCACTGTGAAACAGTGGACTTGATATTCTTCGACTACATACAAGATTATGTCCTTTCATCTCTCAATAAGATTAATCTCTTTTATTCAGCTAGTGATGTAGAAATTTACAGGGAGGAAACATTTTTATACCTGGTGAATAAGTGGATCGAAGAAAATTGGGCTCAGAATTGTTGAATATTTATAAATTTTTATTAAGAATTTTATTGTCAACAAATTGTCAGCTACAATATCCGTAGATAAATTATCTTATGAGCAAAAGATTGGCATAACGTTAAAACAATAAAATCTCCCCTAGTTGCTTGAATTTAAACAGTGTTGCTGTCTTAGACGGATAACCAATAATAGATTTCAGCCAGACTACTTGATAAAATCTGAGAATTACATTAGAAAAGATTAACGCACATGTGCACAATCCCAGCCTCAGCACTGGGTCTTATGCGTCTGCGTGTCGTTGCAATCAAAGTTGTTTTTGAAAAACATCATGTAGTAATAGATAGTTATGAACTCTTGGGAGGGTCAGAAATAATTTCTAGTGACCAAATGGGTAGACATTTAGTAATCTAATGTTAGAGAAAATGATCCAAAATTTTGTGTTTAGAGTTCATTGCTTTCACCGTCAAAATAAATATCTTCGTTGGTTGGAATCTGCCTTGAGCTTATTTAAGGAGTGATAACCAACTATAATCTATCCGGTATATTTTGCTTGTTATCATGAATTGATCTCACTTAATTTTTGTTCATCCTCGGCTTTTCGTATTTAAAATTAGGGCGACAATAAGTCTTAATAAGTCAATTAGAGGTCTCTCGTAGATGTGTTTGATTACTTACCCGTAGAGACCCAAAACTTCGCCAAAGATAAGTATTAATACCATGCCCACGAATATTCGGGACTGGAGCATGTATGATCGTACACCCATGTCCCCAACAATACCAATTGCATATCCAGCAGCTAATCCAGTTAGCCCGACAGATAGACCACACGCAAGATGCATAAATCCGCTGACGAAATAGTCAGCATACTGCAAATTTTAAATTTGGATTAAATACTTAAAAAGACTATAGTTTTGGCCGGGTGGTGGACCCATATCTCCTGCTATGAGAACTGCTACAACTAGAGAGTAGACTGCAATGATACCAGACATGACGACTGGAATGAGTGACTTAAAGTATCGCATATTAGACAGCTGAATCTTTTCCATTGGTTGATAGATTTGCTATACCTTCATGATAAGGTCTGGCCGGAAGGTTCCAACGCCCGAAATTCCTATGCCTGACTTTGCTGTTCCGTACGCTGCGCCGATACCTTGTCAAGAATGTTAGAATACAGTTTTGCATCTGAAGAGTCATGACAGACATCCAAAGGTCATGGCAAATGTAATCCCCGCCTGTTAATTATGTTAACATTCATCTTCACTTTGGCCATCAATTGACACACCATTCCAAAGAAGGGCGCAAATTTAGGAGTAAAGTCTATGTCGGACATGCTGGCTTTGAGCGCTTATGATGTTGACTGGGTGGGATAGATATTGATCTGATGGTTTTGGTCAGTTTTCTTTCAACAGGTGCTTGAATTGAACGCGTCCTAGGAAGGTAAGTAATCACGTGATGGTTCCACGGAGACCAATGACAAGCACATCCACTGCTTCCTACCTTGCTAATTCTGGATATGGTCCGATCTTATTGCAATGCATTTATCTAGGTTCATCATTTGTCTGAACGATACATTTGTCGCCTCGGTAGAGAAATCTGAAATGGTAATTCGCAGCCGGATCTTACCGCTCTAGCGAAGCTCGACACATGAACTTTTTGAAGATAGCAAATTGATCAACCTTTTCGGAAGCAACTGAATACTACCTGGCCAACTTGATTTGAATCCTGTCCAATGCGTGTCTTCATGACCTGTGCCTACTTACGCAATTGCAACATTAACTTTTGACCTTGAGGAGCTGCCCGACCCGTACATCAATTGTGTCACTAGCATCGTTTTTGTCAAGGGGCGACTTTCGAGATTGAGCTGGTCGCCCTACGGCAAAACTATCCCCTCCGCTGAAAAGATAAAGTTAGTATCCTTGATACTGCAATCCGCAAAGTTCAAGCGAACAATAAATTGAAGTGGTGCTAGACACTTCCGTAGACCTCTGATCAAGAGGGCTCGGTCTTCAGGTAGACAAAGGAATGGCAGAATATCAGCAGGACTATTCCGGAGCATCGAGTCCGAACCAATATGGACATGCCTCCAGTTTTGAGAGGGATGCCGCATTTTCTAATATATTTGGTGCCGCACCTCCTCCGGGCCGTTCTCAAACTATGAGCTCATCCACGCCTTCACCAGGGGCTCATGGACGTTCGCAGACACCAAATCCGCAGTCTTTGAATACAAATTACGGCATGCGAAGGCCACAGCTTGATCAGCAACAACAGCAAGACGGAATAATATACTCGCAGCCTGGAACGGGGCCAAGCTCGAGGGGCTTACCTTACCAGCAGGTACCTCCGAATCAGGTCCAGTCGCAACCCCAACCGCAATACTTACCGCCACATCATCGTCAAGATCGAAGACCATATCCTGTTCCTAACCGTATCGATCCTAGGTGTCCTCCAGCTCCAGCTCATTATGTTCAAAACCCTCCAGCTCCACGATACTACATAGGGAATAACTCTACGTTAGATTCGGATCCATACCGATCGCAATCCATGACTACTGCTCAAAGGCCGCAAATGTTTAACCTACCACACAATGCACTCATGCAAGCTCCAGCGAATGCATTAAGACAAGCTCAATACCAAGCACAGTCATCAAGAACAACTGCACAAGGACGAGTTGTACCAGAAAGATATGATGAGCGATCACTTTCAATGACAAGTAGCTTACAAGACCGTGATCCGCATCAGACAATGAGTGGAAGGATAATTCCCATCAGAAGAACATCGCAGTCAGGCCTCCAGGACTTTATTATTGATGGAAATCCTACAAGTAGTCCAGGGAGTCCGCAAATAATAACTCATACAGCCAGTATAAACTCCAGAAATGTTTCAGATATGAATAGAACAATGTCCATAGCCTCTACAGTGACCACAACTGAGCAAATTGACACTGGACAACACCGAATTACAAAATCTTTCAGCAGTGGCACCGGTACAGGTCCCACAGAGAAACGTCAAAAATCACCACTTGTCTATCCTGCATTACTTTCCCGAGTTGGGGAATGCTTCAGAGATAGAGTCTGTGTAGGGGACAGAACTAAAAACGACCTCACATACAAAAATGCTTTTAGTGGGGCTGAGGCTGTGGATATAATTTCATACATAATAAAGACAACAGATAGGAATCTAGCCCTCCTTCTCGGAAGGGCGTTAGACGCCCAGAAATTTTTTCACGATGTCACATATGATCACCGTCTCCGTGACTCTTCAACAGAGATGTATCAGTTCAGAGAGACTATGATGGATGAGCCGCATGAGGCTCCAGATGTCAACGGCGTTTTTGTTTTACTGACTGAATGTTATTCCCCAACTTGTACCAGAGATCAACTTTGCTATTCAATCGCTTGTCCACGAAGGCTAGAGCAACAGTCAAGATTAAATCTTAAACCTCAACCTGGACTACGAAGAGAGAAGTCACAAGCTAGCCTGCATGATCAGGATGAGCCTGATGAACAAAAGCTATGGATCAATACCGTCTCTCAAGAGATAGCAGATAGTGTTGATGAACGTGAGAAAAAACGCCAAGAGGTTATCTCCGAAATAATGTATACTGAAAGAGATTTTGTCAAAGATTTAGAGTATCTTCGGGATTTTTGGATAATTCCCTTGCGTTCAAACAATCCTGCTTCACCCTCTCCTATCCCTGAGTCAAGAAAAGAGAGAACTATCAGGACAATATTCTCTAATATTATAGACCAGCCTAGTATTCATAGCGTTAGCTCTCGCTTTGCTGAGTCGCTTACAGAGCGACAAAGAAAACAACCAGTTGTTCAATGTGTTGGCGATATATTTCTCGAATTTGTGCCACAGTTCGAACCATTTATCATATACGGATCCAATCAACTGGCTGGAAAATTTGAATTTGAAAATGAGAGGTCGTTGAATCCTAATTTCTCTAAATTTGTCGATGAAACTGAACGACGGAAAGAATCGAGAAAGTTGGAGCTTAATGGATATTTGACTAAGCCAACAACCAGACTGGCTCGCTACCCGCTCCTACTCGATAATGTTTTAAAATATACAGATAAAGAATCTAGTAATCAAGACTTGGAAGATATTCCTTTAGCTATGAAAATGATTCGCGACCTACTCACCAGAGTTAATGCCGAATCGGGGAAAGCAGAAAACCGATTCAACCTCAAGAGACTACATGAGCAGCTAAGATTTAGACCCAATGAACGTGTTGATCTCAAACTTACGGATCCTGGTCGAGAGCTGATATACAAAGGAACTCTCAAAAAAACACCTACTGATCCTTCAGATATACAGGCCTACTTGTTTGATCATGCTATGCTCCTAGTTCGTGTTAAGACTGTCGGAAAAAAGGAAGAAGTAAAGGTCTATCGTAGGCCTATACCTCTTGAACTGCTCTCAATACGTGAAATGGATGAAATAATTCCCAAGCTTGGTGTCTCAAAGCGACCATCATCTAGCTTGATACCAGGATCTAAATCAACAAGCAGCGATACTTCAAAAAAAGAGGGTTTTCCAATCACATGTAGACACCTTGGAAAAGGTGGGTATGAGCTAACACTGTATGCAAGTACTGCAGGCTCTAGGAGCAAATGGATGGAATACATAGGTGAACAACAAACAATTCTTCGGAAACGTGGAGACTTTTACAATCGTTCTATATTGTCTAATGAATTTTTTTCTGCCTCAAATAGAGTTAACTGTGTTGCACCTTATGGTTTGTACTTTTCTCATTTTTAAAAATTCCATGTTCTGACATTATATAGATGGTGGGCGAAAACTAATTTTTGGCACCGACTGTGGGATATATGTATCGGACCGTAGGGCTAAAGACGGTAACGCAAGCCCTGTACGAGTCCTTGAGGCTGCTAGCGTGACACAAATCGATGTTTTAGAAGAGTATCAGCTACTTTTAGTTCTTTCTCAAAAGTCATTGTTATCATATCCGCTGTCAGCTCTAAACCCAAACGAGCCCGCATTATCAAAGCGACCGAAAAAGATACAAAACCATTGCAATTTTTTTCGAACTGGTATATGTCTGGGACGTCATTTAGTGTGCTGTGTTAAGTCTTCAGCTCTTTCAACAACCATCAAAGTATTTGAACCAAACGATGCTATGTCAAAGGGAAAAAAGCAGAAAGGTTTCAAGATGTTCAATAGTGGCCAGGATGAACTTAAGGCATTCAAGGAATTTTACATTCCAACAGAATCCTCTTCAATACATTTTCTCAAATCAAAGCTTTGTGTTGCATGTGCAAGAGGATTTGAGGTAGTCTCGTTAGAGACTCTTGAAACACAATCACTTCTCGATCAAGCAGACACATCATTAGATTTTGTGGCTCGAAAAGAAAATGTCCGACCCATACACATTGAACGCCTAAATGGCGAATTTTTATTAAACTATTCTGAATTTTCCTTTTTTGTCAACCGTAATGGATGGCGAGCAAGGCCAGATTGGAAAATTGATTGGGAGGGTCTACCGCAAAGTTTCGCGCTATCTTATCCTTGGATATTGGCATTCGAACCAAATTTCATTGAGATTAGAAACATTGACACTAATGCAGTACACATTGTCCCACATCGAAATATTCGCATGTTACATACTAGCACACGCGAAGTAAGCAATGAAACTTTTATTGAGCTCAAGAAACTAACCCAACATAGATCATATACGCCTACGAAGATGAGCGTGGTGAAGATATTGTAGCAGCGATTGATTTCTGGCCTCCGGGGCGTAAGCCTGAGACCCAAGTTGCACCTTTGGGACAAGATAGCCGAGAAACTTACCAAACAACTCCTTTTCAACGTTAGAGTAAAGACTTAGCGTAAGTCTCTAAAGCTTATAATACGATAATTAGTGGCTAGGATGCCTGCTATATTTTATTTCATCTCATGTGAATTCAATCGCATGCTACGTTTTCTTGGTTTTCTAAAGCTCAAAATTCTACAATAACTTTGTAGCATTCTATATAAACTCATCGCTATCCTAGGGCTTTATCCGATATGGCTGATTGTTTATTGTGATAAGGTAGTGCCCTAAATAATCAGACATATCTCAACAATTGGCGTATTTTGGGATTACGACGACTAAATGATTTTCAATATCAAATAACCTGTATAAGGGTTCTGTAGTTCTATCAATAAAATTTAAATTTTGTATGCCTAGAGGCTCTTCGTGGTCCCAGTCATGTTTATAATTTCCCACAAGATGAGATTTTATTACTTAATTAGTGATGCCTATGACCTACACATACGGTTGAAAATACAGCGATTACGTTAGGTTAACTTTCCAGCAGTACTTACACTGAAAGCAAAACCTGACGTATAAGCCACAATTTCAAGTGAGATATCTGCTTAGAAAATGTCACCGTACAAAATTTGGTAAGCCTCTTATCACACTTGATAGAATAGTCACCAGATATCTTGCTCCCCCATATTTTTTGTCAAGTGGTATGGGATAATTTTCATGCCTGTTAGTGTTAGAAAGCTCTAATGTGGTATGAGAAGAATTGGGAAAGTCCTTAACTAATTATCATTGTTGAAAGAGGATGAAGCTGTCGGTTTATCCAAGACGTAAAAGTAGATGTGTCATCATGTGGAGATCACATGATGACCTCAGCACAGATGCGCTAGTCAGAATCCACAGTAAAGCTGTGAATCCTGCATAGCGTAGACAAGACAATTATGAACATTTTAGACCAACACAGAATCGTACAACTCTTTACTGAATCATTATGATTGATCGTGAAACCACACCGTAGTCTATCCAACAGAAGCAGTATATACAACTGGCCTTCATATTCTACATATTTACGCGGATTTCAGCCGAGACTATGGCATGGAATTTTCCCTCTTTAAGTTAAATTCCCGAACAGATTTGCCTTGAAAAAAATTATTTTGCCTGTTTGATTTTGCCAGCGTTTATTTTTCATCACCTCTGCAAGAAATGTAGTTCCTGAGGTCTTCTGGCCTAGAGGATAATAGATGTACACATATTAGATAAGCTTTAGGTTCAGATAGTAAAGATGGCAGATAGCGACACGGCGTTTGAATTTTGTCACAGTATCGCACGCCATTCTGTAAACCAAGTTGAGACTTTTTTTTTTAAAATCGTTAGAGTGTATTCAGCTATGGAGCTATGACACATGACCAGTGCTATGTATACATATTGGATGGCTCTTTTGACGTTAGAGACACTCATGCTCTGGATTTCATTTGCAAATACTACTATGAGGTATGCTTGCTTACACAAACAGTCGACCCTCCTCCGTTAGCACCCACCAAAGGGAATTTAAAAACCTTTAGTTATCCAAGCATGCCTTCGTCATCCGTGTATAACAGCCCCGCGAGAAAAGTGGTTGTGTTTTGCTGGATTTGAACCAGCGATCTACTGTCTCGAGTGGGATATGTGTCCAAGCTATCCATAATCTACTTTGTAGACCGGCCAAGACGATGTACCGCCGCACCATCCAGCCATAGCGGTGTTTATACTGTCGCCTGCACTCTCGCAACCGAAGACTTAGCACGCAGAAAGCTCAATTTGTAAAAACACCTTGCCAAAATTCAGAATTTCACGTCCGTCAAGAATGTATCCATCCTCTGCATCATCTTATCAACTTGTGCTGATCCCTCTCACTTCTATCTCAAATAACAATCTTCCAGATTTGTGCGCCATGCTTTGCTTCCTCCATCAGGTGAAATATCGGCGTGGGCGTGTATCTGGCGACCTGCTGAGGTCAGAGAAAGTCGAAGAGTGGTGTGGTCATTGGGATAAGGATGTACTTGGTCGTAATTGTAGGCTTGATGAGACTTAGGTAGTAGTCAAACTGGTTGAGAGCGAAAAAACGACGTGGAGGAGTAATTTGAATCATTGCCTCGTGGGCCAACTTGTTCGATATTGCGAAATTTGACTGAACTTGGCTCTGGGAGAATATTTCACTCCCAGGTTCGTAGAGGACACCGCGTACAGGCGTTCAGTCTTGCCCTCCCAAGTTGAGACATGTAAACTAGGTTCTGCTGGCAAAGTAGGTGAGGATATAATGAGGCCATCTAGAAAGTTTGAGATGTAGATTTATTGTGCTACTTGAGTCTATGACTATCTAGCACATTAGCCTCCTTTCTAACCCAGGCCACACCTTGTACAGCGCTCCTATCCTCTTTTGTTACTTGAAAGATCATTGACATATTCCCCTTGATAAATAGCCATTCAGCTCAGTGTTTACCCGTTGAATTCGGCCACCTTTTCCACGGAACCTTCTACCCAAAAAAAATAAAAATGGTAGCAATGGAAACTGCGTGCGCGGGAAAAAGTCTCAAAAAACCTGCAGCCCCAGCCAGGCGAGGCCTAGACACCGGGACCACATGAGGTGCGCATATTCATCTACATCTCCCTTCTTTGTAACAGTCGAGGCCGACTTGATCCAATCCACCATCTCCGTATCGGGTGCTGGGTACGCTCCGGAAACTCATCGGATGACTTTTCCTCCGTGATCAAGGTTTGGTGATGAGTAGAGCTCCAACCCTACCATCTGATCTGATCGTGGTTAGCTTCATGATAATGGTGATAGGGGAATGTGTTGAGAGATGAAGACGATACAGACCGCGAAAGCGATTGGGAATCCTCTTCGAAGTGAGGACTTTGTTACTCAATCTCGGCTCTGCAGACTCTACAGTGAGAGCTGGAGGTTCGTAGGGGACACCGCTGACAGGTGTTGAGAATAGTCCCCCTTCAAATGAGGAAAAACATGTATTTTAGATACTCGATAGCCAGATAATAGAGAACCAACACTTCGATAATTTGTTACCTTCTACTCCTATTTCTAAATAGTCCAGCAAAATTTTTCGATGAATGGCGCGACTGGAACCGCGCTTTCAGTTCCTGCGTTGGATTACGCCCAGGTGTCGATTTTTTGCAGAAAATCCTAGGCTAGGCTCATTCCCTGCTTTCTTTCGCGCTCTAATTGCTCTATTGCAGCTGCAATCCCAAGAAGGCTCGGGTGTAATTGGTTGCCTGGGTCGATTGACGCCGAGAACGACGGCTGATTGTGCGCAGCCATGTTGCTGCTTGATTTAATGGGTTACTAGAAACCCGGGATATGTGTTACGGCGTGCAATAAGGATACTGGGAATCGCAGTCTGTCGAAGGTTTTGTTTTGTTTTGTTTTGTTCAATAACGTGCTAGGTATAGTGATTCCCGTTGCATTCCTACTGGAGCTTAAGCACGGGTGGGGCCGAGCTGGATCAGGTTAACTACCATTAAGTAAATCTACCTCGTCCCACCTAAATGACCAGACTACCATAGACTTCACCCATGTGTTGAATCATGTCAAGCCTAACCGTCCAGAGAACCCCCTGTTGGTGCGCCGAAGCGCAAATTCCTCCTCAGCTTCGGCCACCACGCGCCCGAGCCCTTGACATCCTCATTGACTCCGAAATATAAATGCCGTCCAAGATTTCATCGTTGCTCTAGCCTTGTACCTTCATATCGTACCGTTGGGTTGTTGTCGTCATTGGGGATTTGTGTAATCCCCTCGGTGTATCTTCCCTTTTCTTCCTCCTTTGTACAAGTCCTGTTTCCATCATGACTTTCCTTATTAGGGTGTGTGTAGTTAGGTGACATGACGAGTATAGAGGTGGGTCGCAGGTATGAGATCGGCTGAGATATGGATCGTCGCAAATATAAAAGGAGTTTGAGAGATGTCGGATGTTTGAATACGACCCCCAGATAGACCTAGGTCCATTCGTGAATCGTATGTTGGTGGTGATGAGTTTTTGTTCGACTTTGTTCCGGCTGTGAAATCTCTGTCGACTGATTTTTCGACCAAAATATCGAGTGCAACTCCTTCAAGTCTAAAATCCAGCAAATTAGATCCATCCCACCCTTTTTCGTGACTGAATCTCGGCTCTGGGAGAATATTTCACTCCCAGGTTTGTACAGGGCACCACTGACAGGTGTTCAGCCATCGTCCTCCTGCCGAATGTAAGGTATTAATAACTGTGAGGATTTTAGTTGCTAAAGAAGGATACTTAAATATAATTCGATTGGCGAGATGTCAGGTGGTCAAAGGTCGTAGAGCTACAGGATAGTCGAAAGACACGAAGTCAAGAAGTCGAGTTGCCGAGCAAGCAATTAAGGCTGATAACTTAGGGTAAACAGAAGTACAAAGAATGTAACAAAAAACGCACAATTCGAATATTCGAAAATTCGAAAATTCCCTATATCCCATTTCCCTTCTCATGATTATTCCTGTGCTTGAGTTCTTGAATTGATGATCATCGAAAGGCGTTCCAAAATGCCTACGATGAAGAGCAAACGACCAAAGTCGACCATTTCTGTCGGCTTTGAACGGACACACATGTGTCCAAAACCTCCTGGTCTCGGGCAAAAATTATCAAGCTTGTTTGCGAGTGAGGCCTTTGTCCCAGGGAAGTCTTCCACCCTTCCCGACCAAGAGATGACTGATTCTGATCCGATCAGAACAGAAACGAACAGTCAACAGACCGCGAAACCCGCCAAGCTGGCCCTCGAGGCAAGCATCTCCAGGAAAGGAAAGGAGATCGTCAGAGAAAGGACGATCGAACGTGCAGAATCGTCTGCCGGAAAAAATGCTGTGCCAGCTTCAAAAGGCGCAGCATCGACATCAGCTATGGAGTTTCCTCCGGAGCTGCAAACCGTGATGGAGGCCGAAAAGCGACGTACGACGCAAATTACGGCCCGCCTCGCCAGCTGCTCGACTGCGATAAACAGTGTTGAAGCAGTACTTTCGCCTCTTTCGATCGGCGAAAATAAAGAATTCGTACACGGTATAAAA